CATCTCAAGTAGTTACAGTAATTATTTCAATACGAAATTTTTCATCTTTTTGGTATGATTTATCTAATGAGGTAATGTTTCTTTCACTCTAAATAATATTATGTTGTTTGGGTTCACCTTTTTTTTGCAATCTAATTTATGAGTTTATCTGAACCAGAAATCTTTTACAAAACCAATGTGTCTGGTTAAAAAATAAAGAAGAGTGTCTTAAAAAGCTCTGGGTGGGTGGGAAGATTTTCTGAAAATTAATAAACGCTCCTTGTTTATGAAGTACTTAAAGTACATTTTTTATGAACTCATTGCTTCTAAAATGTAACCTTACTACACATTCCACAAGTTCATTTACCAGATATTTTTCTTCGTCATTCTTTACTAGATTACTAATGTCCTTATCATGTTAATCTTTAGATCTTTTGTTTCACTTTCATCTTTTTTTCAATACTCTAAGTATAAATTCTTCTTTAACTACATAAAGTAGTTTTGCTAATAATAGGTTGAAAATGTATGCTAAAATAAGTTGAAACTCTTTACAAATAGATTACAAGACCGTTATAAAAAGCAAGGGTGTATCACTGAACAATGCTGCACACTAATCTTTTCTTTCAAACTATCACTCTCTTCTTCTTTTGTTTTCATTTATGTTGTGATATTTTCATACATAATCATGAGATCTTTTTTAACATCTGAATATTTTTAAACCATCACACAAGCTTTCATAGCACTTTTTCAACGTTAATAAACATTAGGAAAATTGTCTAACTGAGCTCTATATATATATAAATATATATATATATATATATATATATATATATATATATATATATATATATATATATATATATATATATATATATAATATATATATATATATATATATATATATATATATATATATATATATATATATATATATATGTATATTTATATTTATATATATATATATGAAGAGTTTATTTTCAAAACGCGGTAAACGCCATTTTAAAAATTTTTTAGAAATTGTGTGGTTTATTTTTAGTTTATAAGGACCAAGCAGACATTGTGTCCGAATATATGCTAAACGAAGTATAACCCAATATTTTTTTACTTCTAAAATACATTTATTTTCAAAACGCGGTATAAAATTTTTTATTTGTTTTCAAAATGCGGTATTTAAATTTGACCAATCCGTGGCAAATGTATATTACTTCTGCGCAAGCGCAAATATTTTAAAGTTGCGTTAAAGAAATGGCGGATTGTGATGGACAAGATTAACGCAACACCTAATATCCTATTTCACATAGAAAAAAAGATATGATGTATGAAACAAAAGAAAAGAAAAGCATTTCTTAATTCTAGTGTTCGTTTAAACTACCATGCTTTGTTTGTTTAACTGAACGAATTATGGAATAATGATAGAAAATATATTAAAAAGGCAACTTAAATTAATAAGTTTAAATATATTTGTTACCTGTTTTTTAATGGAAAGCATTCAATAATAATACTTCCTTTTTATTTTTTGTTAAACCGACAATTGCTTTGTTGGTTTAACAAAATTTTAAAAATGAAATACTGCAATAGCCTCATAAAATAAGGCTATTGCAGTATTTCATTTTTAAAATTTTAATTCGTTCAAAAATATAACGATGACTTTTATGTTATATTAATTGTCTATTGGTTCTATGGAGACTTAAAAATAGTGATCATCATTGTTACAACTACACAACACTAAAAAAATATTAATGTTTATTGTCCATATTTAACTCTCCGAAACAAATATAAATTTACAATTGCGAATTGTGAAATGTAACAGTTTACATTACTTTAATAAAACATTGTTTACATTCACATTATTAACAAAATATAATGACCAAACATTAAATACACATATTTGTTCAATATGTTAACTAAAACTAATCATTTAGACTTATTCAGGTCTTTTAAAGTTTAAAAACTTTTCATAACATCTTTATAAAATGGATATACCGCATTTTGCTAAGAAGCTTTAATTGAATATACAGTATTTTGAAAATAAATGCAAACTTATTGACAAAAAAAATAAATTTTTTTATTTAATAATATTTTATTTATTAACATTATATAATATACTTTATGTATATATACATTAAGAATATATATACATATATATATGTATATATATATATATATATATATATATATATATATATATATATATATTATATATATATATATATATATATATATATATATATATATATGTATATATATGTATATATATATATATATATATATATATATATATATATATATATATATATATATATATATATATGTATATATATATATATATATATATATATATATATATATATATAAATATATATATATATATATACAATATATATATATATATATATATATATACATATATATATATATATATATATATATATATATATATATATATATATATATATATATATATATATATATATATATATATATATATATATATATATATATGGATATATATATATATATATATATATATATATATATATATATATATATATATATATATATATATATATATATATATATATATATATATATATATATATATATATATAGGACCACTCCAAGCTCTATTGGGTCAAGATTAGTTTATGACACCATACACCAAAGTGAATAAGAGTCAAATAAAATTTTTTGATTTCTTACTTTATAGATTATGTAAATATGCTTAACGCAGGCATTGAACAAATGATCTATTGCTTCTGATGGAAGCGATATAATTACTACACATATAAAGGCACCCCATGCACCCAATATGAGGTAGGAATATCAAATTTAGGGAGCTTTTTTTTGAATTATAGAGGTCCTTAAACAAAATTTGCGGAACTAATAATCTAATAACTAATAATGAAATGTTTTTTAAAGTTATGGTGTCCTAATGACAGGTTTTAAAAATACCTTTTTTATATATTTAGAGGTACCTATAAAAATAGATGAGCTTTAAGAAAGTTGTTCAGTTTTACACCTGACTACGCGCTGGTCCCATAAATAATTTCATTGTTATCATAGGTTCTATAAAAATCCTACTATTTAAATAATATCATTATTAGAGGTACTATTATATTTTATGCCATTTAATGTTTTTAAAAAGATTTGTGGTTATAAAAATAGCCGTTTTTATTTAAAACAATTTATTTGTTTTCAGCAGTACAAGAAGACAGTTTTTTTTATTAAATCACTTAAAAAGTCAACTTTTTTTAACAACATATTTTTCAGAGTTAGTCCATTTTCTGCGTGGTATACGTTTCATACTCTCCTTCATGGACATTTTGTTTGATTCAGACAGTTACCTGCAATTGGGTAAAATATATGTCGATTTCGAATAGTATTATCATTAAAACCAAAATTAAACAAGGTTGGATTATATTTTCTTCTACTAAATAACTGTTGTTGTCCGAAGTAATTTTCTAAAAGATTCTGGCAATGTAAGTTTGAATTTTCATTTCATCAAGAACTAGGACAAAAAACTTTTATGGAGCTGAAAAATGTTCAACATTATCTTTTAATTCTTTGATTATATTTTTATTAAATCCTATTTTTAGCTTCACAAAATTTTTACAGTCACGCAATGGCCTACCACTTGGTAAAAAAAAGAAACCAGAGTTATTTTTCTCATTTAATCGTACTGCTTTTTAAGCAGCTGGTGGTTTTGCAGCTAATCGCAAACAGAAGTGTATTATTGCTGGATGATAGCAAATCCCTTGCTTTGAGCTTTTTAAATGTTTTTGCTGCTCTTTCCAAAACAGGCTCATAAATGGAGAATTCTTGCTTTTATCAGCTTCTGTCATTATTTGAACTGAATCACTTTTAATACCTTTACTTATAAGAATTTTCAATCTCTTGCTTCATCAAAGCTAATTCCTTTTTTAATTCTTTATTTTCCAGACAAACACTCTGTAATGTAAGCTTCAGACGATCTGGATGTAAATTTAACAAGTGCATTTAATTTAGCAGGGATTCAAGAATTAGCAATGTTTTTTTCTAACTTATAACTCCTTTTTATTCAATCCTTTTGCATTGAGAACATCAATTAACACTAATTCAACAAGCATAATACATCACTCAGATCAAAAATACTCTGCTTGGTTTAAAGGAAAATCATTATTAAATGAAAATAAATTAAACTTTTTTGAAATACAATGTTTAATATGCAGATTTGACTTAAACCCAGTGGGCGTTTCGACGTCGGAAAAACGTCGAACGACGTCGGATCTCGACGTTGGATCGACGTCGGATTACGTTTGGAATGGAAATGTTGGGCGACGTCGGAAAAAAAGACATCGGGCGACGTCAGCATTCCGATGTAATTCAACGTTAAGCGATGTTAAACCAACATCAGAACAACGTCGTTATACCAACGTAAATAGATGTCAATCGACGTTGAGCGATGTCATACCAACATTGAAACGACGTCAGATAAACGACATAAATATATGTCATTCGATGTTAAGCGATGTCAAACCAACATAGGAACGACGTCATTCTATTGAAGTAAATAGATGTCATTCGACGTTGAGCGATGTCAAACCAACATCGGAACGACGCTAGTTTACAGACGTAAGTAGATGTCATTCGACGTTGATCGATGTCAGACCAATATCGGAATGACATCATAATTCCAACGTAAATTATTGTTGGAATTAAATATAACATATATTTAATACATATAATTAAATATATGTTATATTTAATTTTATGTATTAAATTATTTTAACGCAATGTTAAAATAATTTAATACATATAATTAAATATAACATATATTTTTGGCGTACAAACATTCAATACAAAAAACAAATATATATATTTAAATAGAATCTTTGTGTTAATGGCCACCTTACTTGCCAACAAGTTTGCTTGGAGCTTACCGTAAAATCTTTTGCACTTCCGCTTTAATGTCGGTTACTGTGGATTCCTTTTTTTTTTATCGTTTTTTTTAAGTTGACAGTATAAAAGTATAAAAAACCAGATAAAAGTTATTTTAAGTAATAAATAAAGTATACAATAAACTAATGACAGTTTAAATAATCTGTTAACCGTAAACATTTTATTAAAAAACAACAAAAAAATACCAACGATAAGCTCGTAAATTTTTAATTTTTCGAAACTTAATTTATCTTGTGTGTCTGATTTTTTTTCATAGCGGTTTGTTCCTTTCATGTTAAAACAAGCCATAACTTTTTGTGACATCAGGCTATAATAACAAAACAATTATATATATATATATATATATATATATATATATATATATATATATATATATATATATATATATATATATATATATATATATATATATATATATATATATATATATATATATATATATATATACATATATATATATATATATATATATATATATATATATATATATATATATATAAATATATATATATATATATATATTATATATATATATATATATGCTATGAAAATAATAAGTTCTCATAGTTTTTGCTATAATATCTTCTATGAAAACGGTAATATTCATCTAATATCTGCTGTAATATTAGTAAAAATTTCTAATTTTGTAAAAAAATGTTTGCACAAGGTTAAAAAATATTTTGAAATAACACATAATTACCCATATAAAAATATACTTTGAAACAAACCATAAAAATCCACCTTTCTAGTCTGCGTAAGGTAAAATTGTTGAAAACAATTCGTCTTCTAACAATATTTAACAATACAAATAGTATTTTACTAAATTGAAAGTAACTTTTTTTTTTTTTTTTTTTTTTTTTTACAACACAAGTATCTGTATATATTTCAATAAAACAAAATTACATATTTTTACATATAAGTACAAAACGTACAATTTAACAATGTTTGAAATTCTGTTTAGCGCATGCGCGTTGTTCAGTGTACAAAATAAGGTAACTACTATTCGTTGTTTATAATATAAAGTGCTGACTATTAACCCATACATTTAAAAAATATATGCAAATCCGTCGTACCACAAGGCTACTAGGGACTTGCTTGTGGACGTTGTTTTGTTGACGTTGTTTTGTATTAACTCTACGGTTAATACAAAATTTGGTGTTTGACATTAAATTTATTTTTGATTCAACACAAAAACATCATAATATTACCTTTCTAGGATGTATTTAATATTTTTTTTCAAAGTAATTCCACCAACTCTTGAAAGACGAGCAATCTAAAAAAAAAGACAATTTTGATATTATGCCTTACTTTGGCTTTACACTTTTTTTACTATATATTAATATATTAAAAAGTTACAATTTTGATATATATTAACACAGACGATATATGACAAAAACGTTTTTGAAGTTATTAACTTCATTAAATTAATTAATTGGAATAAGAGCGTAGAATTTAGAAACATTTAAAAATTTTGTAAATACTTTTAAAAACAATTATTCCCAATAAAACAATAATCTAACAATCATATCCTTTAAATAAACCCATTCATCTGAAATAATTGTTCCATTCCAATTTTATTCCAATAATTTAGTCACACTTTTAAAAACACTCTAAAATCTAATAACTGGATATGTCAAACAATAGATAAACCATTAGATAAACCGTTTATCTAATACCCAACTAAAAAGATAAATTACAAGTTTCTTAGACAGATCTTCATCACTAACCAAGACCTTTTCAAAATCCAAAAGTTCATCAACTTGGCGAAATTTAGCAGGAAGATTACTTAAATTCATTCTAGCCACTGTTGTTTCGCGCTGTTGGTGTATTGTATTTTGGTTTTCTAACTGCTTTGTCAGCAATTTTATCGCAGTGTATTGAAAGTCTAAACGAGAAAAAGACAATTGGTGATACTGCAACTAACCCAAGTCTGGAGACATTTAAATTTGAATGAGAAGATCTTGAGTCTGAGTTTGATCGAGATCGCGAACATCGTGATTGGGACCTAGACTGTGAGCAAGACTTCAAACGTAATTGGGACTTCGACTGCAAATGGGACCTTGAATGTGAATTTGACTTCAAGTGTGAACCTGACCTCGATCGTGAACGAGGCTTCGACTGATAACATGATCTTGAACGTGAATGAGACTTAGACCGTAATCGTGACCTTGACCGTGAATGTGCTCGTGAATGCAAGTTTGACCCTGACTGCGATCTTGAATGTAAACCAGGTTGTGAGTGATTTGATTTTGATGGTGATGGTCTAACTGGGGTGGATTGTAAATGGGGTGGTGGGGCAGTTGCAATGACTTTACATGTTGGGAATGTTGGAGGTATATTTGGAATAATTTTTCCTGTAAGGTAAAATGCAAAAAATAAATTAGATACTAACAGAAACTAATACGAAAAAGGAAAATACCTAAAAAGTAAAAACTGGTTAAAGCTCAGGAAATAAAATATAGCAACAAACAAAAAGTTCATTTGATGCTGTATATGTAAACATAACTAATAAATATCTACAATATTACATCAACTTTCCTTTATCAGAAGAAACTATTTCCACAGGTTCGGTTATTTCCTCGG